TTATAACATTACTAGCTGTTCCCAAGCGCCTTCATCCGCATAAATAATTTCATTGTTCACATTTGTCAAATTATCAATTATTATAAATATTGCAAATGTCAAAATGACATGACATCATGTCAAACCATGGAAACCTTGGTTCCTTGATGTTGGCAGCAACTTATGGTCTCTTTCCCACATTAGGGTTTTTAACCAAAATATTTACCCCCTAAGTTTAATGGTGTTAAAATATATAGCCTAAAGCGTGACGCAAGTATAGGGTTTTTAACAAAAAAAGAATTATTCAAAAATATGCTTTAATTGCTGAGATCTTAGGCAACAAAGAAGTGTGTATTTACGCTTTCTTATAATATATATAATATAATATTATATAGTCTAGATGCTGCCAGTTACTTTGCCTATATAGTATTTAATAAAAATATGTATCTCGATTTCTCGATACTGAATTTTGCGAAAAGAAAAACAAATCTACATAAAGTAAGCGTAAATTTTAAGCGATCAAAGGATCTGTATCCAAGCAATTCAAAGATACCTAACAACATCAACAACACTTAAGTGCAAGAAAATGATTTATAAGTTCTGTAAAATGTCTTTACTTACTTATTTTTATATATATAATTTGTTTTCTAACTAAATGTTGCTTTAAATTTAATATAACACAAAACCTCATACCCAATCCTATTAGAAGGAAGATTTTATACATTACAATATTCCATTTTACGCACGATCATGGCTCAAATTTAGTATTGTGGTTACAATGTAGAAGTAAATTGAATAGTTCGTAACATAAAACTGGATGCATGCAACTAATAGCAGTTTTAGTTATTCCCTAACGTTTTTCAACTTAAATGTAAAAACGACGCGATAGTATTTTGTTCTAAAGCCGATTGCCAACGAATTTGTATAGCTTTTTTATACATGGCATTGAATTTTAGCTTTTTATGCAACCATTAATGTCCTATATAAAAAGATTTTGCTATTATAGTATTATTTATGCATCTATTTCGACATGCGATTGTTTTTTATATTTTCTCATGGCATTTTTTTTATATTTTCTTTTAATTTCACTTGTCAAAACTAATAAATAACAGTCAATTTTCATTTTGTTTCTCACCAAAATTGAATCACTTTGTAAGGGAAGTCCTTGGCTACTTAAAGACAGGAATCCTAATTAAGTCGTCAAGGCAACACTGATTTATGTTATTAACCTTAGTGTGCAATAATAAAAAAAAATTACATCTTGTATATTTTTACCTTTGGTTTGTTCAACTTTTGCTTCATTGTTAAAAATGTTTTTTCATCAATAATTTAAATGTAGTTATGTGAATTTCAAAAATCGTAACAAATACTGTAATGAGAATGATAGGATTAAGGTTATTTTTATAACATGCTTCGATCCACAATAAGTTTAAGTGGAAACTCTTCATAAGAGATGGCAATTACTAAAAAATGCGGTATAATTTTGTTAATGCACGTCAAAATTGTTTAACAAAGATTTATTTACGCTTGAAGGTAACTATAAAATACGAGTGAGATTAAAGCAAGCTAGACCATTAGTTCACCTGTGAGCGCTGCGACGTAGCCCTTGAGCTATCTCACCTTGTTTAAATAATTTGATAAACGACGCAATTTCGAAGCTTTTGAATTTTAACGACGACCTACTTCTATTTTATTTCAATGTAAATATTTAATTAAACAACATTCTCATTACTGGAATTATTCAATTTAATTTCTGAGGTTAATTATTTAGTGTGTTCTTTAGAGACAATTATTAGAGATAGTCCACAAAAAGTACCACATCTCCGAGTGTATTACCATATTTAAAAAAATAATCTTTTCGTCCCTAACCTTCAAAATGGCACACTTGAGTGGTTTTCCATGTCTCAGTTTATTTCAAGAATATTGACAGAGATGACAATATAGTTTTGAGCATTTGTTTCAGCAGTGGAAACTCGGTTGCTCTCACCGTAGAAAAACAAAATTCAACGTTTTGACTATATTATACTGGTTATATCACAGAAAATACAATAATATACTAGTATATACAACTCTATTACTAAATATATCGCACTACTGTCATTAAACTGTTGTCTTAAACGCAGTAGACATTGTATGTGAAGCTTGACCGAAGCGTTGACGTAACGAACGCTGCGGGCCAAAGAGACCGCAAGCCTTGCGACAAGCCAATTAGAGCGAGAATTCGTGTTCAATGTACATACATATGAGGTAGGTAAATGGTGGAAGGAAGGTTTATCTTTTTTAAGACGTTCAAGACGGAATTTGTAAAATGATAGTTTTCGACAACAACTTAGCGAAATAAAAAAATATGAGTTAAATGCACTAATCTAGAATGAATTGTGTTTATTCTAAAATAAAAAATTAATTGTTATTTTTAACAATTTCAAGTTGTCATAAGTATTCAAGACTAAGCGTCCAAGTTATTTGTTTGATCACTACACTTCTCTGTTCAAAATACAGAAAACGTTAGTAAAAAGTAACGCTAAATTAGACCTCACAGTTGCAACAGTTCCAGAACTGTTTAGTTCCTCTTTCCATCCGTACTCTAAGTACTGCACTGGGAACTGGGAACTGGGAACGCAACAAAGCGCAACGCTACTCGTCCACCGTAGCAGTTCCCAGTTTAATAGCCGTTTTTTTACTCTTATATAACCTAGTGCTTAACCACAATACCACTTCGTGCTAAATGGCTAGGTACTGTTTTTTATGCTCCTGGTTCAGTAACTATATGGCCCCGACAAGCGTTGCTATATCTCGTAAAATCTAAATTGACAAAAAAACATGAATATATAGGTTGAAATACATCATTTCAAATTTAAATACTTGTAATGACTTAAAATTTTACAACATTAATAAAACCAAGTAATTGTTTTGATAGTTTTTTAAACTTACAAATGTTACTTTGCTAATATCACCCACAAAATGTTGTGTCTTTTCCAAAAAGGAAATTTGAATATAAAAGCTCAAGTATGTTAGCGTGAGCTTCCATTTAAATTGCTTTTATTAAGCTGTATGGAGACAAAACTGTGGAAAAGTTAATAATTGCTCAGCTTGTGTCGTTCACCACTAAAAATTGCTTTCGCTTAGCTCGTTATGGGTTAATTACTTTGACGGAGTACTGCGCTTGCCTCATTATATTCCACGCTGTACTGCAAACTCATTTACTAATACGTTTTATATGTTTAGAAAGTTTATAAATAATATTATCGTTTACCTTTTAAAGGCTGAATAAACATTTGCAATAATTCACACAACTTTTAATTTAATAACAATAAAAAGATTTTAGGTTATTACATTTTTTATTTGAAAAAAGGAAAATCTTTTTTTTTACGCCGAAAATTCTGATAATTTTTTTAATTAGTAAAAGTTATTATGTTATATATTTTATTTTAATTACGTTACACTCTGTAATTGTAATGTAGCTCATATATAAAAAAGTAAGTAATATGTGAGAAAATGATAGTTTGAATAGTTAATCAAGTAGCACACCTGTATCCCGCGCCGAGTCCGACAAACTGATATATGGAGTCATTTATTATAATTTAGGAGCTTCGGAAGTTCAGGAAAGCTTCCTCTGTAAGCACTCCGAAGTTCCTCCTTAACGACTTTATTAGCACTTTAATATATTCTTCCAGTACCGCTAACGACGATATTGTTTGAAGCTTTGTAAAGCTAAACAAATCTTACTTACATTAAAAAAAACTGTCTAGGTTATTTTACATTTTATAGTTTTGAGCTGTACTACTCTGTTTATGAAAATGTTCGCAGCACGATTGACGAAATCATATTTACTTACTTCTTCCTTATGTTTTACATAAATGATGTGACATGTTACGTAGTGAGTGCTAGGAATTTTCATCGTGACAAATAGAGGGACAATACTCAGCTTACACCATTTGTAGTTATACAAAACCAAATATTAAAAAGTAAATTTATAGCCATGTAAAATACCATCATCGTGTTTGAACAAAATAAACTTAAATGAGGAGAATGTTCTTTATCTGCCATCCTTCATTAAGGTGAAAGAATTGAAAATTTACTTTTTTACTTCAAAAGTTTTGTGCGTCGTACAAAGAGAATTTTATCAAAGAATGAAGAATGTATAAAGCCTTGGACCCAGACAGTTACTCGGCGCCTTAACGAACTTGCAGGAAAGAAAATAGAAAGACGATTGTACCGCGGTGTTAAAAAATACAATTCCATTTTGCTACAGTTGTCGCTTGTAGTTTGAAGCGTAATTTGAACATCAAATCTAATAAAGTATTTATTTTACATGCCGAAATGTTTACAATTTAAAAATGTTCGTAAAGGACGTAACCATTCTAGTTCTCTAATATTTTACATATAGTAGCAGAGTAGTTTTATAGTTAGGTTTACAATAAACATATTGCTATGTAACGTTCCAATAAATATTAACCAGATGTTTTGCGTGCTCAGCTTACAAAGATACTTTGTTATCAAATTCACTTATTCTCGTTAAAAACTACTATCTAGTCATAATTGAGGTCATGGATGAACGAATCGTAAACACACGATAATTTGCAAATTAGAAAACTTACGCTCTGTAATCGTTCTTGTAATAACTTAATCAAACCAATACGGTCAGCAAAAACAATCACTTATAAAATATGTCAGTGTAATTTTAAATGGAAGGACTTTTATAAACTTTTGTCATGAATTGTTTTAAAATTTGTGATGGAAAAACAGATATGAAACAGATACAAAATGTTGGTTATACACAATTTATTACATCGAAGATCTATTAAATTATGAATAGCCAACATTTTAACACCATAAGTTTAAAAAAAAACTTATGCCAAGTCCCAATCTTTCTACATGATAAGAGTGAATTCTGCATATTTTTATTAAATAATTAACAAATACATTGTAAATGAATGATGTATCTGCCAACAGTACTTTATCAAAATAGTCGCAGTTACATTTAGTGAATGACCCCAAACTGCAAACTGCCGTCACACGAAGTAGCCGAGAACATTACGCACACTGATCGCAAATCAACTAAATTGTCACAGAATAATAGAAGAGTTAACAGCGCGCGAAATGATTGAAAATAACCCGATAATTGTTGCACTCACTGCACTTGCCGCAACATCCTGCCCTTTAACTTTTGCCCCAGTAAATATATGAGCCGCGCGCATTTCCAGAATCAACTAGCACAAAACACGACGTTTCATAATGTTGATAAAACTGTTTATTTGCTTTTTTATATTCAAAGTGGTCGTAGCTCAGATGAATGGCGAATTCTGGTGGTTAAATGATGAATTGTTGAAATTGTATAAAGTAGAGCCCCCGCAACCTAAATTTGAAGATATTGGAGAATTCGATACAGATGAAAGTGCTAAAATTGTGTTCAGAGATGCGTTTGATGACATGAAAAAAGAAGAAACATTAAGTGATACAACTACAGAAAAGCCGAAAGATATTGCAGCTATTATTCATTTCAGGGATGACAGTAAATTGATAAACCAAGTTGAATTCGTTAATAAATCAGAAACATCTGTAACTCCGAACAACAGAATTGACACAGTTGGTAATATTAAACAAGAAACCAATAATTATAAAGATGTTTTTAATTTTGTATTCCCGGATGAAGCGGCATCATATAAAACTGACAAAAATAAAAACGACAACCAAGCACATGCATCAAAATCAGAAAGTTTTGTGAAGGATAATGTTAACAAAAGTGAAAATTTTAACAATAGAATACTTATTAATACTGAAGAAGGCGTCTTATTGTCGGAAAACATTTGTACTTACATGAAGGAATCTGAATGTAGTCACTGCAATGGTTTTCCTTATACAACAGAAAAGCAGTAAGTAATTTTGATCCTTTATTTTAAAATTGTGTGCAATTTCTCAACCTATAAATTTACTTTTAGATTAAACTTTTTAAAATCTGCAATAAATGCCGAAAATGTTTGCTGCATACTGCCATTAACCAAACCGAAATCGTCAAAAATAAGATTCCCCGGTAATTACAACTATAATCGAATAAAACGTTCCAATAACAACAACATGAGTCTAGCGTTAAAACAGAGAAAAAATCTTATGGAAAAAAAATACGGAACACAAACAATTTCTACAGTCACACAGAAAATCGTAACTCCAGAAGATGAATATATTGATCCATATATAAATATAAAAAACACATATTTTAAACCAAAAGATTATGAAACTGAAAGTGCTCAGCAAGAAAATAGCGATTACATTTTCAATGATTATTATGCAGCAGAATTACCAAAACCAAGTTTAGTTGGACTGTATTCCGACCATAGTCCTCCAGATTGGTCGTTTGTATATCCAAATAAAGGATCTTCTTATAATGATGAAAGTGTCGAAGAAGAAATACCATCATTTGGATACTCAACAATTGATCCTAGACAAGGTGAGGCAAAAAAATGTAAATTAGCAATGTTTGGTTCAAAAATTAATCTGAATATTATGATAAAGTGGTTAAACTGATTTATTAAAAGTTTTTTTTTACGTAACATATTTGTTGTGAACAAATATGTTACGTAAACAACTAGTTTATTAACAAAAGTATTTTAAGAGTAATCAATAAAAGTTATTTTTCCTATAGGACAAATGCTTTAATGCATACTTACTGAATTCGTTTCTCTTAGCAGGTTCCTCAGCGTTCCTTCCAAACTTAAAACCTAGACTTTTAAAACTTTCTACGGGCTCAGATAGAATGCTTAATTCAGAAAGTCAAACAGTTAGTTATCATTCAAATCCTGATTTTCAAGTTCTGCAAGGATTTAAACTTTTGTATTTAAAGAATAAAATGAAACCTGTTCGTACTTTGAGAAGAACTACAACTTCAGAAAGTCTTGCAGATAGTGGCGAGAAAATGTTACAATCGGAATCCAGTATAGACGAGGACTACGACGACTATACTGAAGTAATGGAGCCATTGTTCAAGAATTGCGGAAGAACAAAGGATAATGACATTTATAACTGTGGTAAATTTTACACGTTTTCTTTCATTTTAAAGCTAATTAACTTTATAGTTAAATGTATGCAAAACGCACTAATATATACCGTAAAACCAAGCGGATTACTTTGGACAGAAATATATGAAATTCTTATTTTTAGATAGTACACTGGGTGAATCAACAAAAGGGGCACATCCGTGGCTATTGCTCGTCACGCTCAGCAAACGACGACAGAGCATACTCTGCTACGCAACGCTGATACATCCTCGAGCGGCAGTTACCACCGCTGACTGTACTTATGAGTAAGTAAACTTTAATCTACAGAGATTTTCCACTTTCCATAACACTGTTACAATCCTCGGGATATCAAGTTTTTTCTATGTTGCAAGAAGCTTAAGGGCGTACTCCGCATGTGCTACCATTATTGTTATGATTCTCTCACCACAATCCTTATTGTTGCAAATAAGTTGGCATGAAAAACTCTTAACTTTAGTTTCAATTGATTCAAGTTGACCATAATTTAATCGGTTGTTTAGTCATAATTTTCTCTGCAGAATGAAAGGTGAAATCACTATAGTGGCTGGAGCATGGGACCTTAGAGAAGAAAAGCGTGAACATTTGCAGTACCGCAAGCCGTTAGTCCGCGCGCATCAGCAATATACGCCAGGGAAACTAGACTACAACATTGCTTTGCTCGTATGTAACACTTTTATCCTTTTAAATACTTATTAAAGCGTTGTCTTCCTAAAAAAAACACTTCAAATCTATACTAATATTATAAAGAGGCAAGATTTGTTTTTTGGTATGTATTGAAAAATCTCAAAAGCTATTGCACCGAAAGACTTTTAAAAATGTTAACACCATTAATAAGCTACGTTATCACTGAGTAACATAGGTTTGTTTTTTTATTATTTTTAGGCTGGGATAAGAGCTACTGTATCTTTGAATAAACAGAATATTGTCATATTAGTCGATCAGAATAATATTGTGAGCGATATTTCAGTACTGGAGACGTCCATTACGATTGGATTCCCACGTCCAGCCGGCGTGCTTGTCTGATGATACCGCTAACGACTGCATCTTCGTTGGCTGGGGCGGATATGATCAAGGTATCAATATTTGTTCAGTGAATTCCTTATAACTCCTACATGTTTTAAATAGCAAAGATTTCAAAACACGTTCGGGAATATTTACTTAGATCAGGTGTCGCCCGTTTTGATTTAAATCAAGTCTGTTTCGGAGCAAAGAATATTTACTCTAAATTAATAGCTTTTATTTCAGCTGTTCGACAGCGACCACGTTGGCAACGAGCATCAATTTTGTCTTCTCAAGATTGTGCCGAAAAAATGTCAAACGAACAAGAATTTGATCTTCCAATAGACACGTTTTGTGCTTCAGTCGATTCCAAGACTACTGTTGTAAGTTTAAAAAAAGATTTGCATTATTATTTGTATGAAAATTATTTTGAAATTATTGCTAAATACTTGAATTATTTTTAAAAGCGTTTCTTGTTTTTTCATCGTGTTATTTAAAAAAAAAACTTCGTGAATTCTTTTGTTTCCAGCGTATTTATCAATTTAAATACTTGAATACTACTAAATATAAATTTACATTTTCAGACGGGGCCCGGCGGACCACTTCTATGTAGAACAAACAACATATTCTCTTTAGTGGGTTTGTCTGTGTGGCGAAATCACGTCGTTGTACTGACAAGGTCCCGGGAGTGGGCAATACGCGCTATGGCATCTTTGAGAAATAACTAAAGCGATATAACTATGAAGACAGAAGATAGTAAAGTGGAAATATTTCCAAGTCACGTGTAATAAATTTGATATTGGAGGCAAAGCTTTACCTTATTTCACCTTCAGGATGGGTAGGGGAGATGGCAGGAATAGACATGTGAAATTATGAGCCACTTTATAATTCTATAAGATTTGCAATAAACAGATATATAATCTATACCTCTATACTATTGCAATAAAGCGTAAACACAACTTCTTTGTTGCCTAAGATGTCAGGAATTACAGCATATTTTTGAATAATTCCTTTTTTATTAAAAAGCCCTACACTTGCGTCACGCTTTAGGCTATATATTTTAACGCCATTAAACTTCGGGGTAAATATTTTGGATAAAAATCCTGATGTGGGAAAGAGACCATAAGTTGCTGCCAACATCATGGAAGCAAGGTTATCATCATGTCATGTCATTTTGACATTTGTAATTGATAATTTGACAAATGTAAACAATAAAATAAAATTTTCATTATTTCATGCGAATGAAGTCACACGGGAACAGCTTTGTAATGAGAAATAAGACATTTATTTAATTTTATAATGTATTTAATTCGTCCACAATATACGGTTACACCTGTGACCTGCGTCAATCTAAACATTACAATAATTTATTTGTTTTAATACCAACGCTTATTTTTTACTAGTATTAAATAAAATAACCATACATTAGAAACACGGCTAACTTTATTTAATTTTCTAAACTAATAAATCATAACAAATGCAGCACAAAATATTTTAGGAACTAAATATTTAAAAAAATACTATAGTGGGGAATGTTTGCTACGGGTCACGATATCTACAAAATCGTCCAACATGTTATTTAGTAAGAATTGAATTAACATTGTACTTTTTTCATGTACATAATAGATCTTTGGTGTCGAACTTGAGTTTTATGAGATAGCTACGGTCACACTTATATTGTGAGTTTCCACTGTGGCAACACATGTATTATAACAATACTTATTCTTGAAATATGATTAAACAATGTTTTTTACATGTGTAGCGACAGTCGATTCACTGTTATATTTTTCAAGCACAAAACGTAAACTTATGTCTTTATACGTAACACAAACAAGTCTTATTCTTTACAATTTACAGCCCTTTTGTATTTGATTTGTCCAGATATGACGCATTTTTTTTTAAATCCAAATTTGTTTTTTTTTCCATTTTTTAATATTAATATAATTTTCTTCTTTGGTTATTATATAGCCCGGTTATAATTTGTAATTTGTATTACAGATATAAATAAAAATAGTTGAATTTTAAAATGAATTTTCATATTTATTGATTAGTAAAATGTTTTCAATCTTTTTTTACGCTCTGGACAAATCCTTAACTTAAACTCCACACAAAATATTATCTAAGGTTTTTTTTTCAGTGAGCAATATTTTTGAAGCAAAACAATTTTACCATATCATTCGAAATAAGTTAATATTCCCTTGGGTTCGAAAACTATAAAATATCTTATCGATATAACGGTGAAATAACTCGTTGTTACTTTACGAGAGATCAATTTGTGTCCAAGTTGTTATTGAACGTAAACTATTACAAAAAAGCGATTAAATGACAAATGGCATCGCAAAACATCAAGCTGTCAAAACACATTGACAACTGAATTATTAAAGTGACAGATGACGTCATTGGTCAAAGAAACCGTGTTTTTTCGTACAGTGTGGCAAGTTTTCTTTGAGTAAACTATCGCACAACTGTTCAGTCGCGCTTTGATTTCTACGAGTTTATATGGAGGTGCGCAGACTACTCAATTTTTAGTTGCTTAACTAAACTGTTGAATTGGCTGCAAACAATCGACAATCGCAGAACAGTTGTACGATAGTTTAGTCCAAAAGTGTGCCACACTAAAATGAAAGAAATGAATAGTCAGGCTTAACAAAACGTCAGCCAATTAGATAGCTTCAGTGACGTCACTTCACAGATACCTAAGTGAATCTATACAGACAACCATAAAGTGAATTTAAATCTTTCTACGTAGAATTTTAACATAAATAAATATAAAAATACTAATAATGACAAGATT